GCCCTGGCCCCTGCACCCAGAGCATAGCAAGAGAAATGATCTGAGCTTCAGAGAGGGTATGTAACTTGCCCAAGGTCACACAACAAGTAGTATCAGATCCAGATGTTTAGTTCACAGAGCTGTGCCTTCCTCACCACTCTGTGATCCCAAGTCCCCCCCCCCACCCCCGCTTCCCTGGATTGGAGTCAGCATCAGGGAAAAGGGGCAGAGGGCTCAGTGGAGACTTCTGAGGGAAAGGCCACTTAAGCCCCCCTTAACTAGCCTCTTGGGTTCCCGAGGCAGAGCTGGACTCCAAGGCCATGTCCAGGAGCCATGGGTTGTACCAGGAAGGGCTGGGGACAGAAGCTCTTCTTGCTAGAGCTCAGGAAAAGAAGTAGGCAAAGCTTCAGGGAACACAAACAATCAAGTCAGAATAAAATTATCAGCTTTCTGTGGCTGTTCAGCCTCTCTCCTCAACCACTCACCAGGGAAATACTCCCAGAAAAGAGATGGAGAGCTAGGAAAGGGACAGAGAAAGGGAAGGGGGCAGGAGAATAAAGAGATAGAGACTGCCCCGCCTCCACACATGTGCTTGCACACAAGGAAGCTAATCTGTATATTTCTGGGCGTGCGTGTCTGTTTCTGCCCACGGTCAAGTCGCTGGGCATCTCCCTTGTGGTGCATCGCGGTGTTGTGCTCCTCTCTGTGAGTATATAAGCTGTGCATGCATCTCTCTGTGTATGTCCGTGCACAACCATGGGAATGCTTCAGGCACACATGTGTCTCTATGTGTGGCTCTGCCCCCTCCCCATACTCTCTGCGTCCCATTGTGTGCGCCTGCCTGCCTGTGTGCAAATCTTCTGTGGGTTCACGTGTGCACGTGCAGTGTCTGTGTGCCTGGCTCCCTGGGCCTACCTGGTCTCCAAGCATTTCTCTGGGGCCTTTGTATTCTGAGGTTTGGAGTAGGAGGGACTTTTATTCCCCCTTTTTAAGCAATCTGCACAGGCCGGGAAATGGGAAATGCATGGCCAGGAGGCCACTTGTCCTTCTCAAAGTGTCTTCATCTTGGAGGGAGAGACAGCAGCAGTCACCCAAGGGCTGACTGATGCAATTTCTCCCAGCTCCCCAAGTCCAGTAGCCATGCTGCTCAGAGAAGGGGCAGGGGCACAAGGTGGGGTGGGGTGAGGCGAGGAGAGACAAGAGCTGAAGGAACTCTTCCTCTTTATCCTGCCTTGAAATGAGACGGGAAGATACGAAAGAGAAACACTTTGGGGTCGGTGCCTTTTTCTTTTCAACCATAATTCTTAGAACATTGCTCACCTTTTAGAATGGGGCTCCCGGGTCAAGGGGAACTCTAGTCTCTTGAAAACCAGCTCCTTCATGGGCGGGGTCGAGAGGGTCTTTGCAGAGGCCTGAAGCTCATCCCCACACCTCGTTTTAACCCCCTGCCTCCCAGCATCTACCTCCAGCTCCCTCTCAGCTCCATCACATCCCTTTCCTGCCTCCTCCTGGCCAAGGGAGGCCTGGGAAGGAAAGGGTTATCCCAGGGGCAGTGGGGATGGGAAATACCTATAGGATGCTTTTTGGAAGGAAGAAGCCTCTGCACGTTCAGCTGAGAGGAGCTTTGCCGTCACTACCATGGGAGGAATCAAGATTAGATACCAGGCAGAAACTAGAAAGACTTCGAGCAGGGGAGGAGAGAAATGAGAAGGAGGAAATCATTGCCCACCTTCTCTGACTTTCCTCTCTCTTCGCACATCCCTTATACATTCTGGGGAGGTCCTTGATCTCCAAGGCCCCGTCTACACAGGCCTCAGCTACCTGGATCACATTCCATTGACTTTCTGGATACAATCCCAGAGGCAAGTCCAGGCATCCAAACCCAAATGAGGTTTGGAGCTGAGTAATCAGCTGCTATGGCTTTGCAGACATTGTGTCGGGGAACAGCCAGCTCCCCACCCCCATCTCAGATTTGGGGGTGGAGGAGGGGCGGCCTGTCACTGGGTGTCTTCCCCCTCAACCACCACCACCATGTTCTCCCTCTTCCCACCTGCAAGTAATTTGGCCAATGGGAGGGCAGTTAAGATTGCAGTGTGGAATCCCTCAAGAGCGGTGTGTGTTTGGTGAGGAGGGGGCTACCTCCCTTCCCCAAAGACCCCATGTGCCCTTTTCCTCTTCACAGCAGCAAATTACTTGTAATTATCTCACATTGAAAGCCTTCAGGAGCTGCTCCCAAAATTGCTTTAATTGAATTAATTAAATCTCATTTTGTTGTGGGAGAGCATGGAGCATGACTTAAAATAGTACATGGGGAGAGGAAAGGTAAGGGACCCGGACAGGAGGGGACACCCAAGTCAGCTTTCCTGTTGCTGAGGCCCTTGGAGATGGCAACATGTGCCCTGGAAGTTCTCTGGACACATTTTTTCCCGTCTTCCAGTTTCAGCTGACTTCAGATGCACTGCGCTGCGCCTTCTTCGTTTGGGACCTTGCCTGGATCCAGCTCTCAGATGGTGGTGACCAGCGATGCTTTGAGTTCTCCAGCCTCATTCCTCCTCCGCCCCCTTAGGAGGCAATTCTCCCAGAGGCAGAAGGTGAATGGAGGGCAGTAGGAATTCCCCCTGGCTGTAACACCTCCCCTTTCTCCCCCCCTCCCCGATAATCACAGCAGTTGTAAATGCCATTTATTAAATGCTTACTATGTTCCAGGCACCGTGTCAAGCATGTTACAAGCACTATCTCATTTTGTCATCACAACCACACTGCAAAGCAAGTCCTATTAGTATTTTCATTTGAGCGGGGGTGGGGGATGGGAACAAGCAAGGCTCAGAGAGAGGGTAAGTAACTCACCAAAAGTCATACCGCTAGCAGGTGACAGAGCTGGGACTCTGTAGCCTAAAGCCCCTGTTCTTAACCACCCAGTCTCAGTACCCGGCCATTACTGACCCAATTTTCCCATTACGGCTTTTTGGGGAAAGGAACATGGGCTCTCCTTCTACAGCCTTGATAGCTTGGAGGGAACGGGCACCTCCTCCACCTGGGCTGCAGGGCCATCACCACCCAGGAGCTCAGGGAAACTGGACCAGCTCCCAAATGGAAAAGAAATTCCCATTTCCCCTGAAAAGGAGGGATGGGGGAAGGAGGTGGGGGGGACACTGTCAGCTCAGCTGGCCTCTGGCTGAGAGTGTAATTACACTCCTTCTGCTACTTAACTTTACAACCTGGGCTGTTGTTTTAACAATGTGACTTGTGTTGGGCTGTCCAATTAATCTCGCCTTTGGAGGCTTTCCTAGATGAGGCGGTAGATCTTATCTTGGGTCTGTGGAAAGAGGTGTGTGCAACCTGCAGTGGGCGGGAACAGCTGCCCGGAGGGCCTGTGGCCTCAGAGGAGACCCAGAGGAGAGAACCCGGGCTGGGGTGACTGAGCCGGTGGAGCCTGGGGTCTGGAGCAGGGAAGGCAGTGGAGGAAGAGAAAGAGGTTTCTCCTCCTGGCACTCCCCTTCCTCACCAAGCTTGGATCTTGGCTTTGGCCTACCTGTGCTTCGTGCCACCTCAAGAGAATCCTCTGGGTGTGTTTTGTGGAATGAGGGTAGTCGCTGACCCAGACAGGGTGAGGAACTGCAGCATCGGGAGCTGGGGGGTTTCACATCCCTCTGCCCTACATATGACTCCAATATGGGCTTCCCTCTGGCCTGCAGAGTTGGCTGGAAGTGTCTGAGTGGGCTTTTCAGATGGGGCAGGCACCGACTTTGCAGTGTCCTGGAACAGGTCTAGGCAGTAAGAGGGAAGCTCAACTTGGAAGCGTTTGGCCTGGATTTGGAGGCCCCTCCCCCAACCCCTCGGGCCATGCTGGGCTGGATTCCCTGAATTATTCTGCCACCTTTGTCCTTAGCCCCCTCCCACAGGCGTTCCTTATCCTGCTGATCCTGGTGGGAGCGAGTGTGGTGCTATGTAGTTCGGTGGGGTGTGGTGGCCAGAAGTCTGCAGTGTTCTGCTGCTCCCAGGCTGCCTGCCCTTCTCACCCAGCACTGACCCCCAGGCCCAGGCTAGATCGGAGCCCCTTGACAAGACCCATGCTGCTATCTGTGCTCCCTTCGCCTGGAACTCACCACAGCAGTGTCTGGTCATTTGTTTGCCTCGGTCACCATGGTATCCCTAGGATCCGGCAGAGCACAGGCTCTTCAAATGTTTGTTGCATGGAAGAGAATTCCAGTTTTTTTTTGTGTTTTCCTTCTCAGAACTGCCCCTCCTCCTTCCCCAAGGTGAGCTGAGGCCATCCTGCCCCCAAGCAGCACACCTCTCCAGGTAGGACTGGACCGGATCTGTGGATGTGCCCTCTCTCAAGGTGAACTGGGCCTCTCCCCGGGCCAAAGGTGAGGCACAGGGGCTGGAAGGTGCCTGGCTCCCTCCAGAACGGGGCCAGGAGAGCGTCTGCTGGGGAGGAGCACTCAGACCTTGCATGAGCATCTCCTGGGTTCACACAGGAGCATATGAAAACGGTGGACATTGTTAGAACATTCCAGAGACAGAATCACAGGGCTACTTAGTGGCAAGGCAAATCTAGAGTCCAGTGCCTCTGATTCCTGTAATTCCATGGCAGAAGAGTCAGCTGGACAAGAAGAGATGCTTGACCAGCCCCTACCCTTGAGAAGTCAGGAAACAAACACGCCTTACAGCCAGCGTGCAAAGTTTTGTACAAAGTTTAATCTCTGGAAGCTCATGGTGTGAAGCTCAAGCTCCGATTGGTTCTAAATCTGCACAGTTCCTTTGAACAGAGACAGCTTCGATGAGCTGAATCAATGGGCCTATCCATCTATTTAGGGGTGTCTACACCTGCACTAATCTAGAGAGCTAGTTTGTCCCCATTTTTCCCCCGAGTATTTCCTTACCACGTTTTCAAAAGTGTGTGCCTGTGGGTTCATGGGAATAGGAGAGAGCCTTTCAATAAATACCTATTGAATTATATGAAAAATTGGACCCATTAGCTATTCAAAGGGGGAGACTGGGGAAAGAGGGCTTTTTTAAGGAGGAGAGCATAAATTACCCATAGGTCCATGAACTCTACATTTTTCTGCATCTCTTCTACCTCCCAGGATGGTAAGTACATAAGTCAATTATGGGGGTAATGGGTTGACCTCAGGGAAAAAATGCTGGGTGGGTGGGAGCTGACGGTAGCCCCTGTTGAGGTCCGCTTCTGCTTTCACTAACAAATGGGTTGGGCAAGGCCCAAGGCACACAAAGAAAAAATACTCCATGTTTCTTGCTGGTTTTGCACCCAGGCTGTCGTGGGGGGAGTGGCAAGACCAAGGGTCCTGGGGACAGTCTCAACTCCAGCCAATGGCTCTCTCTCCAGAGCCTCTGTCCTGCTGGAGTGAAGGTGTCCAGTCCTTGGTAGTGGTAGGGACAACAGTTATGGCCAAGGTCCTTGATTTAGGGGCACAGGCTCCTCTCTTTCTCTCCTCTAGCTCCTTGTCCTCCAGAGAAAACCCATCTGGAGCTGGTTTCCTCCCAGCCCAGAGAAGGTGCAGGCAGACGGCCTGGGTCCTGGGCTTTGCAGGAGGGCTGGGGGCCTGATCAGCCCTTCCCCAGACTCACATCATCCAAGACGAAGCCAGGACATCTGAGGAGTGATGCTGCTACCAGGCTCCAAAGCTGTTGCCATAGCCACTGGTGGGCAGGGTCCCTGCCTTGGGTAGATCCCAGAGGGAGGGGAGGGGTGGGGAGCAGGGAGACACGGAGAAGGTCCTCCCAGGGAAGTCTCTTTCTGGCCCCCCAGGATTCTGCTTCAGGAGCTTCTTATACTTAGAGCGTTTGTTTTGAAACCAGATCTTTACCTTTGGGGAGAAAAGGGAAAAGAATGAAAGATCAGGGGGAAGAGATGTGTGAAAAGTGTCAAGGAAGGGAAAGGGATCCAGGTGTCGGAGCAGCAGCAGCCGTGGGAGCCCAGCCGAGTCTGGGAACATTTGCTCCAGGCCTCCACAGCCCCAGAAGTCGCCTGAGTTCCTGCCTCTGAGCTAGTATCCATGTCTCCCTGCCTGCTGTACCCTCCTCTTCCTGACCCCCTCCACCCCACCCGCACATACATGCACGCCTTTCAACAAACGTTCCCGTCAGCGCTTGCTAATAGCCAGCTCCAAACATTCCCCAGAGAACTGTGACAACAGGGCCACAGCACCAAGCCATCAGTCATTCACACCTGGGGCTGGGGAATGAGTTCCCAGAGAACACGTGTGGGGAAGGTGAGAGCTCGGGAAGGATGACACTGGCCCCACCTGGGTCTGCGTGAGGCCGAGCTGCGCTGCCAGCTGGGCCCTCTCGGGCAGCGCCAAGTACTGAGTGTGCTGGAAACGCTGGTTTAGGTGCTGCAGCTGCAGACTGGAGTAGATGGTTCTCGGCTTGCGGAGCTTTTTGGTCGGGGCCTGCGGGCGCCGCTCTGAGGGTTCCGGGGACAGCTGCGGCTTCTCCGAGTCTGGTGGGTAGCGCAACACGGTGTTGGGGGCGAGGAGGTGAGCGAAGGGGTAGGACAGGCGATTTCATAGGCTTATTTGCAACTCGTCTGCGGGACCGTGGGCGGCAATTAGCAAAAACCACAGCCACGGGGATCGCCCCCTTGCCCCTGCCCTCTACCTTCCGAGTGGAGCGTTTCAACCCCCACGTTCACCGCGCCAGGTGATACAAGGCGCAGTTCTGCTCTCAGGAAGCTCCCACTCCTATGGGTTCTGTGACCGCAGGAAGAAAGCGCCGAGGGCCACAGCCCAGGTACGGCAGCGCCTGCAGTGGAAGGTCAGAGTTCAGCCCCGGGCGGTGGAGCCGGCTAGGGGTAGGGAGGGGCAGAAAGGCTAGTCAAGGGTTAAGCCGAGGCCTAGAGATGACAGAGGAAGGACATTGCAGGCGGAGGGAACTCAAGAGCAAGGCTCAGAGGCTTCAGATGGTGTCCTCATGGCAACCTCTGGCTGCGACCAGAGGGGTGGGTGACAGGCCCGGCTGATAGGACCTTGAGTCCCAGCCTCACAGCGCAGACAGTGACCCCGGTTTTGCCCTGGTCTCGCCTACTGTAACCGGTGCCCCTCTGCCCAGGTGCACCCCACAGGAAAAGTGATCATCTCTCCCCTCCGGCTGTGGCCGGATGGGTTTTCAGGGGTCCCAGAAGGTGGGTCTGCGTGAGGCAGCCCCTTCCTACGTGGGGCAGCGCAGGCAGAGCGGTTCCCGCGGCAGGGAAAGTGAACTGGCTTCCGAGAGAGCGCAGCGCAGCCCGGCCGGGCCACTCTTGGATCGCGCTGCGGTGCCGCCGCGGGGAATCTGGTCAGTTGTGGCCCGCCTAGCTCTCCAGAAATCTCGGCCGTGGAACAGCCAGGCCCTAAAATGCTAAGGTGCGGGGAAGGGTTAGGACAGGGATTTTCGTTCTTCCGAGCCAGCCACCCTAACCCGCAAGGCTCTACGGGGATGCTGGAGAGTTCCCAGGCAATGGGAGGAGTAGGGCGGATGGAGCAGCCTCAGTGCCCGCAGGCTTAGGGCAGCGTCCGCCGCATTCCCTGGGGGTCTGTCCAGCTGATCTGAGCCGAAAGAGAGTGGCTTGTGTCCGCCCGCGTCCCCCCACCTTCTTCCCCTAGTCAGGCTCACCCTCCACACGTCAGCGTACCCGCCCTCGGCCAGCCAGCGGTCACCAGCTGCCGTCACCTCCCCCGCATCCCTCACCCGTGGCCTCGGGCGCTGCGGGCTTCTGAGATCCTCCCTCCTCGACCCTGCCTCAACCAATTCCCAGAAAAACCGTTGGGTTTCCGCTCCCGCCCGCGCCTGTCCTGCCTCGATCCCACTGCTGGCAGCTCTGGGCTGGCAGCCCAGAGCCCACCCGCGCCTCTCTGGCTGCGTGGACTGCGCAATTCGAGCGGGAACGCAGGGAGTCTCTGAGGCCGACCCGGTTGCTGAACTCGCGCAGCCCTCGATGCCCCAACTCTCCCAACAGACCCCCTCCAAGTTCCTTCCCTGACAGCTGCCTTTCTCTACCCCAGTTCCAGCAAGTTGCAACTGGATCTGCCTGGGTTGTGATCACGGAGCTCCAGGGCCTCCCTCCAGGCTCAACGGCCAAACCTCTTCTGGAGGCAGGGGGTGGACATAGAGTGGAAGCAAAAGGAGGACCCCAAGCTCTTGATCACATGCCCTTCACTCTAGAGTGCCCAAACCCACCAGTTCCAGTAGAGAAATCCTAGAAATGTATTCTAAGGAAATCTGGGTGTGTGTGGTTTTTCGTTGGATTGGGGAAAGTCCTTAAAGAAAATGAACTCTCTGTTATCCTTAGATCAAACGAAAGAAACACAAGTGATGTGGCAGACAAGACTGACACCACCAGCCTACTGCCAGTAACTCTCCTGAGGACAAGGTCAAGGTATTCCCCTCCCCCAGAAACACACACACAAACATAGCCTATTAGCATACACTGAAGGATTCATTTGTAAAAACTAGAACTGCTCCTCGAAACTGCCCCTACTCCAACCACACCCGCAGCCTGGGAGAGACAGCCTCAGTTCTGCCACAGACGGCAGTTAACCTTTGGGGGTTTGGAGGAAGCTCCCTAAAATCAATGCCCCTGGCCACACGCTTTACCCATCTATACATCAAAGAAGTTGAGCTCCCAAATCCTAGGGTCACATCTGGCTCTGATGGTTTGTGAGCTGATGTCAGAGCCACAGGAGAAGGGAGGAAGATGTCTTGGTCCTGAGCTGATGCCAGTGAAGTCACCTAGTGGCTGCGCCTCCTTGGAAGAGACTGTGCCAAAGACAATTGCAGGGGGAGCAGGTGGCCAGTTAGATGGAGGCAGAGAGTCCAGGGACCTGGAGGCTAAGCTGGAGCCAGTGCAGATGGGATTGTGGGCAGTGCCCATACCCAGATTTTATGTCAGCTCAGCTGCAAGGCCCAGGATCCTGAAGATGGGCCAGCTTCTCCGCTTCCAGGCCTTCCAGTGAGCACTTTTTCAGGAGTTCAGCGTTGCTCCAGGCAACGGGCCTAACCTACCCCAAAGTCAAAGGGTGGCGATGACAGCGATGGCCTGCCCCTTTGGCTGGAAGGCTGAGGTAGTCAGGGAGAGATGAGGGACTTTCTGACCAGTCTTTGGCCACATTCTCAGAACAATGGATGGAGGGGTCCTAGTCCCAGACTCTGCCAGGCCAGCTTCCAGTCAAGGTCCGGCCTGGTCTGAGGAGAGCGGGTAAGGCCACGGAAAGGAAAGGACAGAGCCCGGAATCAGCCTCGATGGCTACAGCCCTCCAACCAGGACTTGATTTGTTTCTCAGGGTTTGGCTTAATTACCAGTTTCTGAGACAAGACTGAAGCAGAGAGGGGCGACATGGGGCAGGAAGGGAGTGCAGGATGGGGGGGAATTCTGAGGAAGGGGCTAGGCCCCCATCCTCACATCTGGATTGCTTCAGTTTTCCCTTACTAATAGGTACACATAGCCCCCCTGCTCCAGTGGGTGGGGTGAGAGCCCTCCCGCTGTCTTTATACAACTGCAAATCGAAACCAGGTCGGTTTTGAAAGGAGACCTAGATCTACTCTCCCTCTCCCCTCCCCCTCTTGTCTCCCGCCCCATCCCCTCGCCCTCCTCCCCACCCCCACAACCCAGGGAATCCGAGGAAGGTTTGAATCCAACCAGGCGAGGGAGAAGTTTAGGGGCACGCAGGAGCCGTACCAGAAGTGGGAAGAGCGGCCACGGCTGAACTTACCTGCCTCGAGTTCCTGAGGGTGCTCTGCGGGGCCGCAGAGGGGCTGAGGGAGAGCCGCTGGTTGCTGGCAGGGCAGGTAGGAGTCTCCGGGGTTCGCTGGCCCGGTGTAGGGGCAGGACAGGAGGTGGCCATACGGCCTGGAGTAAGACAAATCGGGGGAGGCTGCGGTTGTAGGGGACAGGCCAAGAGGGTAGGCAGCCACTACCGACGGGACGGGAGCAAGGTCTGGGAAGAGAGCTTTGGAGGCGTCCCGGCCCGCGAGCGGGCAGGGCAAAGAGGTCATTGTGGCCAGGGCCCGGGCTGAAGGGCCATGACCTGGCACGTAGTCCGCTCCCTCTGCCAACTCTCTTTTCCAAGCCAGACGGGCACCCCAGCCAGCAGCACCCACACTTAAGATCCCAGGGAAAGTATCTCTTTGCGCTTCTTTCAGCGGAGAACTCGAGCCTGGGAAAGGGGTTCTGGGGGGTGCCCCTCATGGCTTTCCCCTCCCCCCTAAATCCATGGGGACCCCCCTCCTCTCCATCGAGTTTGGTTCCAGGGACCCGACGGGGGCCCCGCCCTCTTAGACGCCCCGGATTGGCTACCGCCCGCAGTGACCTCACGGAGACTTGGAGCCGGGCCCCGTCCCCCGGGGGCGTTCCGCGGTAAAGAAGTGGGAAATGCGAGCTGGCGGTGCGCACTCCCAGGTCGGTCTGTCTCGGAGTCTTCTCTAAGAGGTGCTGGGGTTGCAGGGCAGTTGGTGCACTCCGGGAACCGCGGTTATAATGGCAAAAATGCTAGAGAGGTGGTAAGCCTGGATGCCCAAGGTACGGGAAGCTGGGCAGTGGGCAGAGGCCCTGGGGCTGCGGGACGCAGGGAATCTGCATTCGCAGCCTCCAGATCTCGGGGGTCTGCAGGCCAAAAGCCGCCGTGGACCTGCAGGAGAGTCAAGTGCAGACCGCCAGCGCCAGCCGCTTAGTCAGTGCATCGGAATGCGTGGCTGCTGAGCACCGGCAGTTTGTTGGTAAACAGACGCCGGGGCTGGGAGGGTGCCGCCCGGCGCCCAGCCTGCCTCGCACGTGTGTGGCGCGCACGCCCCCGCGGGGCGCCCTCTGCCTGGCATGCCGCGACCCGCCGCCACTGTACCCCACTGTCCCCCATGCTGGCTTCCGCTTCCGGTAGGGGCCTGGGTTTGGTGGTGACACCGCAGCTCCTCGCAGGCCCCCGAAGCTGCAGAAGGGATCCTCCCTCTGAGCTTTAGCCCATGCGGTGCCCAGCCTTTCCTGGCTCCACAGGAGGCTGAAGTGTTGCTTGAATCCGGACAAAATCTGGGAGTGGAGGATGAGTCCAGTTGGATGGCTTCTGGGAGGGCGCAGGAACTACTGCAGGCCAGTCTCCGTGGCGCATTTTCCAGGCTGTGTTCAAGACTTGCCTCTAAACATTAGTGTCCATGGCCTTGATGGACAGGTGTCCACATATACAAGCATTTATTGGCACGTGTACACAACTACACAGGGACTGCATTCAAATACAACATATATACTCACATATACCAATGTGCAGGTGCCTACACTGATGTTCACACTAGCATTCGTTCATTTATGGATCTGCAAACAGAGTTCAGGCTGTGATGTATATACACATCTATATACCTAAAGATGAATTAGCACTATCCCTGAATAAAAGCACTATCCAGTACTTGTCTCTTACATAGATTCGATATGCAAGTCAAATCACTGGTGTGTGTACTCAAAAATACAGAAGATCTAAGCATATAACATTTATACTTGTGTTCCTACCGCATGAGAAATACATGTCCACACACATCTAAGATGCCTCACATTAGGGGAGAGATAGTTCCATCCCTAAACCCACCTGTCTTCATAAATTCCCCAGCACAAAAACCCACACACGTGTTCCCACTTTATATAACTTGGCAGGCATATTCATGTTTGTACACACACGCATGCTTTCACTGTTAGGGATCAGCGTGAAGGTAGCAGTCACAGATTTGGGAGATGGAAGAGCATGGTGATAAGAAAAAGAGATGAGGCGAGGTGGCTCAGGCTGGTAATCCCAGCATTTGGGGAGGCTGAGGCAGGCAGATCAGTTGAGCTCAGGAGTTTGAGACCAGCCTGGACAACATAGTGAGACCCATCTCTACAAAAAGTACAAAAATTAGCCAGTCAATGTGATGCATGCCTGTAGTCCCAGCTACTCAGGAGACTGAGGCAAGGAGGATCACTTGAGCTCAGGAAGTCAAGGCAGCAGTGAGCTGAGATTGTGCCACTTCACTCCAGCCTGACTGACAGAGTGAGTCCCTGTCTCAAAAAAGGAGAAAGAAGAAAGAAAGAGGGGGAGGAGGAGAAAGAAAGAACAAGAGGAGGAGGTGGAAGAGGAAGAAGGAGGAAGCCTAGAAGAATAGAACACACTGGGGAATTGCTGGGCTCAGGCCTCCTTAGAGAGACAAAATCAACCAAATGGGTGTGCAGGGGTGACTGAAGCTCACAGTCAGGAGTCCTGCAGGGAGGAAGGGCAAGTCTATTTCAAACTGGACTCCCCAGTGGAATAGATAGAGGCGAGTTTTTCCAAGGAGAGACTCCTCTAGCTTGGGGCTCTCCATCTTGAAGCCTTGGAGCTGGGAAGAAAAGGGCTCTGGCAGGAGAGCTTCCTTCTCCAGACAACTGGAGATCCCACTCCCCTCTCATCTAACAAGGTGTGGAGGGTTTGCTCAGTAGAGAAATGCTTATTCTTTTTTTTTTTTTTTTTTTTTTTTTGAGACGGAGTTTCACGCTTGTCACCCAGGCTGGGGTGCAATGGTGTGATCTTGGCTCACTGCAACCTCTGCCTCCTGGGTTCAAGTGATTCTCCTACCTCAGCCTCCTGAGTAGCTGGGATTACAGGCATGCACCACCACGCCTGGCTAATTTTTGTGTTATTGGTAGAGTGGGGTTTCACCAAGTTGACCAGGCTGGTCTCGACCTCCCGACCTCAGGTGATCCACCCACCTCAGCCTCCCAAAGTGCTGGGATTATAGGCGTGAGCCACCATGCCTGGCTGAGAAATGCTCATTGTATGTGGGACTACCTTTCTCCCTTTCTTCCTTGATTCTAGCCATGCCACCCTCTCCTTTGAGGTGGGGCTGTGAACCTGTGAGGATATGTCCTTCCAAACCTTCCTTTCTACCATCACCATTTTTCTCCAGAGGGAGGGAGGCAGCCTTACAGCAGTGCTGAGGAGAGGTTCCAGGGATGGCATCAAAGGTGTGCATCAAAGGAAGGGAACGTTTTTGGGGTGAGGTTGGCTGTGAGGGAGGGTTTCCTAAAGGAAGTGCTTTTGAGCTGGAATTGACAGGATGAGTGGAAAGATATTTCCTCTTAGAGCCATATGCACAGAATCGTTTCTTGTCGGACCTAGGAAGGAAGGGCAGGCATGGGTTTTCTGGCAGAGCTCTGCCACAGCTGACTTTGGGCATCCTCCAAAGCCAGGAGATCCCCAGCGAATACCTGTCTTAAGTTCTAAAGCCCTCAGGGCTTCGCTGAACTCAGAGGATTTTCACCTCTACGAGACAGCAGGACATAACTCTGCAGCCCTTTAGAATTTATCAAGCATCTACACACACACACACACACACACACACACACACACGCATGCATACACGCACGCTCAAACCCCAGGTACTATTATCCCCATTTTACAAATGAAAAAACACCTCCTTCAAGGCTCCCTTCTCTCATATTCCAGAGGGTGTGGGGCTGGGGCACCTGCTTAGGATACCCTGGGGTCTCCTCAGATGCAGGATACCCAGGGAGGGATCCTCTCCAATTGGAATCCCATCTCACCAACGTCAGGAAAGGTGGAGATGGTGAGGATGTGGGCTGGGAAGCACAGTAATCTCATATTGGATCACTAGGGAGAGAAAATGCTTGCTTAGGAAAAAAGTTGGACCAATACAGAGAAGATTAGCATGGCTCCTGTACCAGGACGTCACACAAATTTATGAAGCATTCCCTATATTTTTAAAAAATTTTAAACAGAGAGGGCTGACCAGGCACATTGGCTCACGCCTGTAATCCCAACACTTTTCGGAGGCTGAGGGGGGCAGATCATGAGATCAAAGAATTGAGACCATCCTGGCAAACATGGTAAAATCCCATCTCTACTAAAAATGCAAAAATTAGCTGGGTGTGGTGCTGCGTGCCTGTAGTCCTAGCTACTTGGGAGGCTAAGGCAGGAGAATTGCTTGAACCCAGCAGGTGGAAGTTGCAGTGAGCCCAGATGGTGCCACTGCACTCGGGCCTCACAACAGAGCAATACTCTGTCTCAAAAAGAAAGAAAAAAAACAAACAAACAAGAGGGGGACGCCCTTGAGACGCCCACCTGAGGCCTGGGTTGGGTTCTGGTCCAATTCAGACATGAAGCTGCTGGTTGGGATATTTTGTGTCAGTCATTTGCCTTCTCTGAGACTGGTTTACCAGAAGGGATAAAAGAACTGAGCTGGACTAAGAACTCCAAGCCTTTGTCATTGCTTCATGACAAGTTGCAAAAACTAAAATCCCAAACCATAATGACCAAGAAGAAGTGGGGAGGAGGAGGGATGGAAAGAAGGAAGAAAAAAAAAAAAACAAAACCTCTTTCCTGTCACTACCAATATCTCAGGCCCCTAGGTCGTCACAAAAGCCGGAAGTGGCTCTCCCAAATCTCCCTCACAGATCCTCTCGCTTAGAGCCAGCAGACCGCTCGGAAAATTCCAGCACCCTGGCGATGCGGTGGAGCCAAACTGCGGGGCCCAGAGTTTGGGGTTGGGGGGATAAACTGCGCCGCGGGGGTCTCGGGATTCCGCCGAGTTGCGGGTATTGGACCTAATCCACTAGATGCACGGTTTGCTTACTCTTCTTGGGTTGCCAGGCAAACGCCATCGCACCCGCTCTGGTACTGATTCCTTAGGCAGCATAAGCACCCACGGCAGTGGGATGCATTCCTTGCTTGATCACCCTGAGTTCCGACCCTCCCGGTAGCAGGAACTCCCTCCGAACCCATCCCCTTCCCTGGCGTCCAACGCGGGCACTCCTAACACTTGGTGAGTGCGCAGAGCTCTCCGCACTGTCGCTGGGCTGGGTAGGGTGCCTACTGCACGGCCCCAGGAGCAGAGCTCTGTGTCTGCGCCGAAGTGTGTAACCCCGAGCCTGCTCTCAGGGCAGCACCTGCGTGGATCTGCCCAGGGGAACAGAGATTCAACCGCGACCACAGTCCTCAGCAATCCACGGCCCTTCCGGGATTATGCGTGCCCTTTTTCCTCTATCCCACCCACCAGCCCCAAAACGAACTTTTAGTTTAGCATTGCCATTCTCAGCGGATTTTACGTTTTATTTGGAAGTACCTTTCTCTCTTAGTAACTCAGGTTGGAGAAACTGGATAATTCGGTTTGGCGCCAGGAGAAAAGGAATCAGATCTTCACCCCAGCCTTCCTGAGCTCGGCCCTGCGTGCTGTGAATAGAGCCCCCGTATTCAGCGAGGGCCGGCGAAAGGGCAGTCTGGAGAGGTCTGCGTCCTCCACTCTGATTGGA